TAGATACATTTTCTGAATCTGCAGCCTGATGTTTTCTGAGAACTTGTATTCTTTCTCTCAGTACTTTATATAACCCACATAGCAAGGAATAGGTTTCTTAAAGCTTGTCAGATTTCCCATTGCAAATCAAACCAATCTATGGCTCAAACTGTTTCCCAACTCATGGGACTTCCACCACCTGCTCCTTTATCATTGAGTTTCAATCTTCTACCTCTTATAGCAGTCATCTTTATTGCAACATTTTAACTGTGTGTGCTGTCAGTTTTCTTGGAATAGCAAGGTCATGGGCAAGACCAGCTCAGAGAAGCTGAGTCTGAGATAATAGCTATTTGAAATCTTCAATGATTTCTCTCTCTCTTATTCTGATCTTTGACTTATATGTTTATTTTAGAAAGTGTTTTCCTCCATAACAGACAAATGAAAATGGTAGATTTAGCTGAAAAGGAAGGTTTCATATTTTCTTTGTTTAAAAGAGTGAATCATGGCACTTTTCTGATTTCAAATATGCCAACCCAGGTGTGGGAACCACGCCAAAGATGCCTGATAGTCAAGGCCAATTAAAACACAGAGGCCTTGTTGTCAATACGCCGAATGTCCAAGGCCACTCTATGCCTAGGCTAGGATACCATATGCAGGTGCAAGACCACAGCAATCTCTCGGTGTGCTGGGCCTTTCTGTAGCCAAAATGATTGATGTCATTGTTGGCACAAAACCTCTTTTGTGTAAGTAATATTAGAAGTATGTTAGAGGCTAGAGAGAGCTCAGACAGGACTGAAAGCTGGTACTGCCACAATGTAAGGCTAAGAGCTCATAGAGAGCTCAGATATATCTACCATGTTAACAAGCTAGAGTGTGCTGTGCAGGAGAGAGGGGAGAAGCTGCTGAGCCAGAGAGCTCAGATACCACTATGATGTAAGGTGGTGAGTTTAGAGGCAGCACGGGGCTGCTCATATAATAACTGTAGGTACAGAGGCTATTAAAGGTGCTTTATGGGAAAGATGTCTTTTTGACCAACCAGTGTATAGCTGCTGGTATAGGACTGTTATAAAAAACTGTTTTGTCTGATGACTTATGGCCACTGGCTTCTGCAATAAAGACTCATCCTTATATACCCACAACTTCTTATGGCTTCTCCATCTAAGACCCAGCGTCCAAGAAGTCCAGCCCCAGGCAGAGGGGCTCGGACCCAGCACCTGTACCTAGTGAGCAGAGGATAAATGAGAAACTTGGACTAAGTTCCCAACAGTTAGTACAGTGGCTAGGGTTTGAGAAGGGACCTGCCCTGGCATAGTAGGGAAGAATTTAGAAGAATATATGGACTCAGAGTAATGCAGAGCACCAGAGCTCTGGCTGTTTCTGGCACCAGGTCATCTATACTAATAAAAGGGTAATACGCTAATTAGTC